AATTGTTTCTATTACAACAAAGTTCATTTTAAAAGCAAACTTTAGTAGATAATTATAATTATTTTCATTTAAGTAATATAAATAATATTTGCCATTTTTTAAGTAAACCAATAAATAGAAGCAGCTGACTATTTTTGATAAATTAATAAACTTTCTATTAGAGCAGTTTGTCAGTCTATCAACTGGTGTGACATTGAATAAGGCAATGTAAAAGCATTATAGCCTGACCAGGAACATAAAAACCCTCGCCATGTTGCGGAAAACTCATGGTACTAATTTCTTTTAATGGCAANGGAATATTTAAATTCTGAATTTGATTATTGATGAATAATAAAATAAATCCTACTAGCTCGATTGATGTTTCATTTAATTTATTTAAACCAGGTTACCTTTAATAATATTTTTCGGTAATTTATGAAAATATCAAATTAGCCCGTAATCCTGAATCCTGATACATAAATTTAGCCTATTAATTTAACACATGTACGACTGTACTCAGTGTTGCACTATCAAATGCAATTGAGGCGCCTCTATGCCAGGGTTTTTATGTTTCTGGTCAGGCTATAATTTCATTAATTTGAGTGATGAACCTGAGTTTTGGCTTACAAATAGTTAACCAACATTGACAAAACCTCCTTTTATTATTATCTCCATAGTGAAAGTATTAATAATGAATTTAATAGTTTCTTTTTTTGTTTACTTACATTAAATGTTTTCTTCATTGAAATAATATCCATCAGAATTGCATTTATTATTGATTATTGTGCAGATGTCTCTAAACATCATAGGTTTATCTTTACCAAATTAGCTGTTTGGTAAACAACAATAGATATTTTTAATGCTGTTAGTTCAAACCAATGCTACAATAAACATGAGTCTGATAACTTTGTAAGTGGTTAAGTCAAGTGAAGTAGGTAAATTATTAGTAGGAACAAGGACAACCTTTTGATAATGTCTTGCATGATCCTAGAAATCATATGGAGTGATTGAAGGTAGTCAATAAATTATTTACGCGTGAAGAGGTTGTTTAATCGTATTAATTACCTCGCCACTTCGTGCTGCTGGAGAGTTCTCTTCAATTTCGTAAATTATGTGTGGCAAACCGGCTTCGCCCAGCAGAGAGAATCCAAATCCCAAATTGTCACTACGATTCAGGACCACTAGTCTTTCGTCAGCCATATTCAGAACACGACAGTTTTGATCACCATCCTCCGAAGGATTTCACTAGGCACACTTTTATTAAATCATGTGGGATGAATTAGTGCAGAATTTCGATAAATTAATAAATAAAAAGAATAATCATAATTACAACGCACGAAGAACAAACGCACCCAACCAAAGCGAATGCAGCATAGATAAAAAATTTGAAATTTAAACGATTAATGTCAACTCGACTAAACTCGAATAATATAGTAAGTTGTAAAAGATTTTTTACATAAATGCCTAAATATTAATTATGTTAAAATGTTCTTTTAACGGTGCACTTAAGAGGACTATTTTAATTTTAGTTGAATTTTATTCTAGAAATATAATTAATTAAGAACAAAATTATTTAAAAAATTAATCGATTATTATGGAGTCGATTGTAAATGACTCGATTCTGCCAATTTTGACAGTTGCGTAGGCATGTCAAATGATCACAGATTATAGTTCCAAAATACTGAACTGTCCTATGCATGACATTGACAGTGGGGCGCCACCGTCAATACCGGATCGCTGGTTTTGATTTTTGCCATGTTTGAAACCATATAGTTGAACGATGGTAGCGCCCCCCTGTCATTGAGTTTGGTGGGACAGTTCAGCGTGGGTCATCTATAGAGAGTATGTCTAAAGCAAATGATGTCAAACTGCTTGTGAAGTTGTGATCCATTTCAGTCTCACTATAGATATTTTAATTAAAAAATGTGTTTTAACCATTATTTGAAAATCGTAATTACAGTTGTGAGATAAAATTAACTAAGCAATATTTAAAACAGTTATATTTTTTGAAGTTTTATTCCTCTTTATTTTATATGTTCATCAAGTCTTTTTGAATTAGCTTCGGACAAGTAAATAAATAGTCAATGCTGTTAATCAAGGATAATATAATTCGAAGATATGTGTGTTTTTAGTTAATTATTAATTCTGGAGTACTATTGCTTTTGAATGACTTTAAAGCTCACAATCAGCTGAAAAATATATAACGACCACAGATATGGATTAGAGTAGATACAGCAAGTTGATCGTCAAAGCGTGCCATTCCGATATGTCCAAATGGACATACATGGTCGAGTGATGTTCATGTAATCCGATTACAACAATCGGTTACGATGATTTTACGAGAACAGTAGTACGAACACGGTAGAAAGAAGATATTATTTACGGATTGAGAATTGTAATTAACAGCACAAGTAGCAAATAATTAATAAGAATAAAGTAGCAGTAGAAGAAGTATAAAGTAGCATTGTTTTTAATACATATCCTGCGATGTACTCTTAAGAGTTAAAACCATGGTCCCTGTATGTGGTGCACTCATACCGATCCCAAGGAACCGTACTTACTCATAACAATAAGACACACACTGATCCTTGTATTCATGCACTTGACAAATTTATGTCTTGAAACGCTGGTAGGGTAAAAAAAACCATAGTTCCTTAGTAGTTGAAGTTCCCTTCCACCTTCAGCCTAATCATCAGTTTCCGCCAGGTGTGATGAAGAGAAAGAGCTTCCTCGTTGAGAATAAAAACATGTTCTGTCCAGTTGCTGCTCTAAATCTGTTCTACGTAATGTAAACTAAGAGGATTCCCAATATTAATTCACTCTAAGAAAGTCAAAAACATGTAACGGAATCTCCGACTTAACACTTTAGTGGACCGATTACAGGAAATAGTGGCCCATTAAGTACATGTTTTTTTGTATTATTATGAATGTTCAGGAAACGGCGCAGTTTTTCAAATGGTTTTGGACCTATGGAAGTTCTTTTTTTTACTTGAACTTTTAAGTTGAAAATTTGATAGTGTTCTGATAAAAGCATAATTTTAATGTTTCTAGCAAAACTTTTGTATCTCGAATCAAAGATAGGAAGGTGATTATTTTTTTCAAACATCTGCAATTAATAACAAATCTGTCGAAAAAAAGAAATCTGAGAAAAGTCACCCCAAAAAAAAGATAAAAATGTTTAAAGCCTACAAGGTCACAAAAATTTAAAATATCACAAAATTAACTCTATCTCCTAAACTAAGCACAATCGTATTACATACATGGGGGTGATTTAGGTACACCTTGATGTAAGGAATCTAAATTTTTCTTTTAGACCTCACTGTTTTGGCCACCCTGTATAATTGTTATATGATGGTAATGAACAGTATAGATGACCCACGCTGAACTGTCCCGCCAAAGTCAATGACAGGGGGGCGCTACCATCGTTCAACTATATGGTTTCCAACATGGCAAAAATCTGAACCAGCGATCCGGTATTGACGGTGGCGCCCCACTGTCAATGTCATCGACAGGACAGTCCAGTATTTTGGAACTATAAGCGTATTAGAGCTATTTAGCTATTTTAACGTAGCACAACACGGAGCATCTTTTCATAAGAAAATCGATAAACACTTTTATTTTCTATAATCTTCTTTCCGCTCACTTTTGTTGTAGATGTGACTCCATGTATGAACTCTTATGTCTTTGTCGTTACTATATAATCTGTGATCGGCTGTCAAACAAAACGTGATGTTAAGGAGGCGGGAGGTTCAATTTTTTTCGCTGCGATTTTTAATTTGAGTTTATTGAGTTTATCTAAAGGGAATTTCAGTTAAAACTGCAACTATGGGTTCTGATAGTGGTGGATCTGCTAATTCTCAGAAAAAAAGAAAGTTAAACAAGACATCAACTGGTGAACTTTCTGATGATGATGATGACAGAAAATATGCACCATACTTCAAAAAGAATCACATCCGGAGTTATCCCGAGAACTCTCCAGGGACAGTATATCCAGTTTTTATTCAGAGCATTCATGATGACATTAAATTTGGAAATAAAGATCCAATTTACTTAAACACAATATTCAGTAGATACAACAAAGGTGTTAAGGAAATCAAACGAATCAATGCATTGCGGTATGCTGTATATTTCGATAACCCGAAAAACGCCAACTCTTTACTGTCTAATTCGGCCTTTCTATCATCTCACGAAATCAAGGCATTCATTCCTGCCTCCAACTCAGAGCGAACAGGAGTAATCAAATTCATTCCAACTGAATTGAGCAACCGGCATCTTTTTGACAAATTGATCAGTTCGCAGGAGATCTTGGCTGTGAGGAGATTCACCAAGAGGACCCCTGAAGGTGTCGTCCCTTTGCAGACCGTCTCAGTCACCTTTGCTGGTAATGTTCTACCTGAGCAAGTAAGTTATGGTCTATGCATACTCCCTGTGGAAGAATATATTAAACCTGTGTTACAATGTTTCAAGTGTCTTGGCTTCGGTCACACAACTAAATTCTGTAAGCGCAATGTTGTTTGCTCTATTTGCTCTGAGTCGCACGGAATTGTTCAGAAACCATGGGAAAGTAGAAATAAATCGTAACTAAAGAGTAAATAACGAAATAGTAAATGAGAGCGACTCATTTTGTTTTTTTGCTTTAAATTGCCAATTCATTATGACACCCCATAGAAAATCAATTTGATACAGAAACTGCGATTACTGTAGAACGATAATACAAAGAAATTTACAATAATTAAGTTACGTATCGCATTTTATGAAACAAAAATACATGAAAAAGCTAGGGTGGCAAACAGGTTTTTGTATGAAAGGTAAAAAAGGACTATTTTTAAAATATCTAAATATTTGGTAATAAGTAGGATTATAGCTATAATTCTTCGTTATCTTAAAGATTAATATTCATCCTTCAAAATTGTGTGTGTGTTTTTTTTGTGTGATGATTTATAAATATAAAACTTTTGAACTGTTTCAAAGCACACTTTTTTTTTCAAAATGTACACTTTTTTTGAGAAATACTCAAATGTAGTTTTGTCATGCTTAGGCAGCATGCTATCTCAGCATGACAGGCCAAGTAAATTAGCTTACTTATTTTTTTTTATGATAATAGGTACTACTTTTAAGTCCTGTAAGGTATATTCAAATAAAAATTTAAGCAAGGAATAAAAATTACCTTGTGTTTTTCAGTGCGTGATTGGCTTGCCCTTCTACCACCAACTTTGGCTGTAGGAGGTATATCCTACTATTCTTATCAAACATACAAAAAAGCGCAGTGCGCTGGCAATGGTCAAGTGAACACAAGTATAAGGAAGGATATTAATAAAGTTGTGGATTTCATTGACATTGAGGATATAACAGAAAAGGCGGTACTTTGCAGGTGTTGGAAAAGCAAAAACGTAAGTATTTTCAGCTTTATCTTTATTTACATGGCAGTTTGTAATCTTCGTGCTAGGTTTTGTGTTCCCAATGATATTTTATATTATGTATTCCAGCTGAATAAAATGATAAGGCAAATGTTTTCTATGTGGTGTGGCCTAGATCTCTTCTTATCAGTGAGATAACTACTGCCTGTAAATATCTTATAGTAAACGACTCTTTTCCTGTTGAAGGAACGAGGCATGTTAATTCCTACACAGTACACTTGCAGTTTAAAAAATTAACTTATGTCTATAAGGAAGGACAAATAGATGATTGAATGCTACCTAGATAATGCGGCATACATTTGGAATTGTTATGCAACTGTTGCTGGGCCATAACTGGGTCTTTATTGTGTAACTGCCTGAAATGTAAGACCATATTTAGGAAAGCAATAAATGACCAAGTATTTAACATTTTGAGTTACTTATAATAATAGCAGTAGCCCGATTATCATATTGAGATACTTCCATTACTTAGTATATTTATTTACATAATACATTTTGCTTAATACAAATGCTCATATGTTTCAGTGGCCCTATTGTGATGGCGCTCACGGTCCACACAACAAAGCCACCGGTGATAACACCGGCCCAGTAGTCGTCCGGCATAAGGAAAACAAGTAGACAGATGAGCTCACCAGTCTACTCTACCAATAGTACATACCAACAGGTGATAACAAATGTGATTATTATTAATTCTAAAATCGTTAAACGTTAATTGCTTTTAAATGTCTACATCACGAAAGCTTGTCTTGAATACAGTAATGTTTTTTAAATAAGTAAGTGATGCAATTTTGTATTTTTTGGCATTTTTGCTTTTTATTAGATTGTTTTTATAATTATGAAACTGGTTGAACCTAACAAATATTGAACAATTATGTATTTTGGTTGAAGAAGTGTAATAAACACTTTGTATTGTTCCTTTATCGAATGTTTTTTATTTTTCATAACAATAGCATTTTACAGAACCAAAAGGAAATTAAATAAAAATCATATTGTTTCTTTCAAATTTTATATTTCCAATTCATTGCTTACAATATATCAAATCACAGACAAATATTGACTTTAATAGTAAATAAATAATATTTATTCACCAATCCAGAATAAATTTTGATAAAATTGTAAACTTTTTGAGACTGAATGTGAATACTTTATGGGTAGGTATTGAAGATTATTATGGCACAAATGAGTATATTATTTACTACCCATTTCTTGATATTTACTCAAAATACTTAATAATGGCCTATTAGTGACTGTCTAATAAAACTTGATGAGACCATATAACCTTTCGTCTTATAACACTAAAAATCTAAAATTACGTCACATAAGAAAAGAAAATACGAAAATAAAATTACGTGTTTTACGCTAAATGTATAAAATCCGATATAAATACTTGAAACACAGCTGTGCAAGATCTGCGGCGAAGTCATAGACAATCTAGAATCTAATGCAACTCAGTCTTTGATTCCATAGCAAGATATTGGTACCAAGTGTCACGAGCTTGTAGTTCAGAGCAGGAAAAGCTAAGAGAGAATAGTAGACAGAAGAGCAGGTACCAATCCCTGATTACTTTCACAACTGAAAAGAAAAAAAAAATCAACTTTATCAATTAATACAACAAGGTCAATCAACAATCCATGTTTTATTTATTTCAATCCATGTAATACTGAATAAGCTGTGCTTTGCTGCTTTACTTTTACGAAATAAAAATAAACTAATTTCTTACCTCTATTCGTGTTTCTGCAATGTTTTCTTCATTTCTTAATAATTCGTGTTTCAAGCCATTTCTTTGCCTGAAAAAAAAAAGTAAATATTACTCACATATTCATTTTGGACCCTCATGATTTTGAAACCTCATGCTCATATTCCAACATTTTCACCATGACGCGGCGGACGCGGCGCAGGCAAGAAGTTAATGTGAAACCAAATATTGAATTTCTGTGGTATATAATAATGTACATAAAACGTGGCTATAAATATTCGACCCTTTGTTCCTCGCCCTCGAAGTGGCGTTTTGTTCGGAAGCGGTTTCCGCCGCGTGCGCCTACGCAGGCTCGGAACTCGTATCAAGTTACCGCCACACAACAGGGAAGCCACAAACGAGACTTTATTTTGACGTGCACACCTCCCTATACGTTCGAAATACAACTTTTATGGTCCTTCGTCTCGGATTACGTTACGTATTAGTTTTATGTTTTATTACAATTACAATTTGAGAGAGTTGCCCTGAAAGTATTGATTTACTTGCAGGATTCGTAATCCGATTAAGTTTTTTACATAAATCAAAATGTTCAAGTGTTACCAGTTCTAGACCAGAACCAGACCATGTTAGAGGAGGAAAGTGCACAGATTAACCCCCTATAAAAAGTACATAACATTTGTGACGGTTTTACTTCCGAAATTGCTTTGCTCCGGATTTTTTGTATGTAACAACTTCGCTTGTCTCTGGGCCTGCAGCCACCTTTTCAAAATAACACTCGTGACTGTTTCAATTTCGCGACTGCTTCACGGAACGAAGCGATTTCAGAATCAAAGCTTTCACTTTGTCTAGATCTCTGAAATGGATAAAGTCTCGTATTGCTCTAAGCGACAATAGCCCAACGGTGTCGGTATCGGACTGGCTGAATCGAGATCTGAGGGACGCGGGTTTGAACTCCATTATCCGCTGGAATATTGTGGTGAACCCACTCGTAACACAAGAATATTTAAAGTACGGCCAACGAGAAGTGATACCAAATGTAAAAAAACCCAATGTCATGGGTGAACCCGTCTGACTTTGACATATTTTGGCGGGAGAACGAGACATTACGACAAATACACAAGATGGGAAGAGACAGAATATATTGTCAACTCGACAGTCGTATCGACCTTTTGTATCGCTGCTAGCTGGCCGTACTTTAGCTCAGTACAAGCACAAAATGGAATTTTGTGGTACAAGGCGGTTAACGGGACTGATATTATTCTTAATTTAAAAAAAGATTTCAATACTGATCCTTACAAGTATATCCTCCTCCAGACGATGAGGCCGGTGTAGGCGACGCAGACGATGCTGCAAGTTATGGCCACCATGATGCCCGCAGCCAGGCCCACGGGCTCGCCACGCATGCCCGAGTAGCGCACTCGCTCCGAGTCCTTGAGCACCTCGCCGTTCACTAGAATTGACATCAATAGTTTTTTAAAACATTTTAATATTACATCGGTATTAATAAATGTAGTGCAGTGCAGCTGAGTACCGAACGATTTGGAAGTCCTTGAAGCGTCGTGGAAGAATCAACCGCGGTCGTCTTTTGGTTGAAACGAACTAATTGGTTTTTTTAATATTGAAATAGATTTATTCGAATACCACGATATATAATGTTTCTATTTAGTCGGTCAGATCAGATTACAACTTAATTGCAAGACCATAAAAAAAATTTGAATTTTCTCTTACCATATTCACTTGGTCTCAACTTTTATTTACAATAAACAGAATTTTTTTTTAAAACTAAGGCAAACTTAACTCTAAACAAAATAAAAATATAAACTTATTTTACTCAAAAATAATTGGTTTGTACATTTCAGATGCGAACGATAGAAAATATTCCTATTTTTGCGGAAAGTCTATCAGTTGACTTTCCACAGCCTTTGCACTGTCAAGACTGCAGTGCCCTGCATATCGCTGTGATTTATCTACTTGTCCCACCCTGGCCCATCCACTTCAAAGGGTTGAGCCCGAACTTTGGTCAATCTTCTTCAATCGCCAAAAGCAATGATCGTTATCACCGCTCTATCTTTAATCTACACGCGTACAATTTCCGAAAATATCACCGATGTTTACGTACTTTCAAGCCTCAAGTTCCAAGTAAGGATTTGCATGCACGTAACAATTAGGAGCCTTATTCGATTGGACACGGACTTTCACGCGTGAAGCGGTGAATTTTTGATTTACACGTATGACACGTATCTGCCTCAAACCTGCCTACTTTATCCGCCTTTGTTGTAAAGAGTATGAAAGTTTCTCTTCAACCGTGTATATCAGCTCTCTATTCAACTATAGGTATGACGTTAATAATTAGTGACCATGCGAACTCCATTCGATTTATTAACTGCAAGCGCGGCGCCTCATAGGGTCCTGCGCCAGCGTTTATTGAACTGCTTAATAGATTCCTTTATTTTAAACTGTTCCGTGTTTCTTCCGAGTTGACACGTTGACGTTGCGTTATAAGTTACCTAGTCAAGCGTGAGAATAGGGTACCTATGCAAGCAATAATTTTCTCAAGTAAGGAAAGACCAAAATTTACGGGAATGAAGCCGCGATCGGAAGCTAGTATTTAATAAATTTACCTTGTAAGAACTCCGCCTGTGAGTCAGGCACTCCGGGCAGGATGACCCGCTCGTCTTCAGAATCCTCTGGAAACGACGGCAAGTCTATGTGCTCCTGGTTGTCGTCGCGCGAATGCAGCATGTCGAAAACCTCGGACCTTCAACAATCAGATCAAAGAACATAATTAGAACATTATGATAACATGTTTTTAAAGTTAGATACTGAAATACTGAATAGGACTAGGTATCCCAAAATGAGACATTTGACGCGAAACTATATTTTGCTGACAATACACTTATGCAAAAGTTTTGCCTTGGAAAATCGCCACAAATTTGATTTTTTTGCGTGGAACATGCAGTATATCTACTCGTTTATGAGTAGTTCTTCTACCTGAATAAAGTTATTCTTAACGTCAGGTAAAACTATCAATTTCAATTAGCTATTGTCTTACTAGATCTAGGTCAGCCATTTCATTTAATCGCAAGAAAAATGCTTTTCTTGCGACTATATCACAATAAACTAGATAGATCCAATAAAATCCACGCAAGTAATTTCGAAAGTGCAGTTCATTGAGCCGGCTTTGCTGTTGCTAAATTGTCGTTGCTGCGTCATAAAGTTGTGATAAACCTAACTTACTGCCATATTTTATGGAGACAATCTGCAGAGCTGTTATCATGAATTAATAATATTGTACATAAATTATATTGAGATTACTGTTAAAGCATTTGTTTTATGATGATTTTAACCAACTTCAAACAAATTGCTATCTCACCACACGACGAGAGACGCCAGTAAACTTTTTGCGTTGCGACAACAGTGGCGTGACTTGTCCCATGCCTCGTGCTATCCTTACAAGCATTGCCCATACCCATCACGAGTCATTATTTGCCAGATGATCATGTCTTCACCAGTGGCGGCGTAGCATGGGTTGGCACCCGGGGCGATCACCCCCCCGTCATAAGTCCTAAGGCACCCTCTGGTACCCCCCAGGATTTTGGAGTTACCTACCGATTCGAAGATTAAAAAGACAATCGCACCCCCCCCCCCCGTATCATGGACATAGACCGAGATTTGCCATGCAGATTCGTCAGTGAGTACTAATCTGCACGACTTGTGTCACCCCCTGATGCTTGGCACCCGGGGCGGACCGCCCCCACCGCCCCCCCCTTACGCCGCTACTGGTCTTCACCAACCTTGGATGCAGTCCGCCAACCGGCCATTGTGGAAATCATTGGGGCAGGCCTATATTCAGCAGTGGACGTCCTATGGCTGAAATGATGATTATGATGATGAACATGTCTTCACCAACCTGCTGACGCCATCTTTGTCGTCTACCAGCAGTTTCAGCAGCGTCGCGTTGGCGTTCAGTGTCTTGTACCGACTGTTGTCCTCCACCTCTTTGCCTAGGCTGGGAAGTGTGCTCTCGTCTACCTTCGGACTGACAGACGTCTCGCCGTAACTTAACTTGACACCTGGAAAAGTGGCCGTTTTAGTTCTGGGAGTTTTAAATCAACACCAGTTTCATTCATCATGACAGGGATAAGACTACCTAAATTGTGCTCTTTTGTGTGTTTCTTTCTTTTCGTGTTTTGTGTTATGTACTGAAGTGTTTAGATATCTTTACTGACTATCAGTAGTAATTCATTTTAAACATTTATTGCGAACTGATTATCATCTCTGACATGCTTTTGGTTGTAGTAATCGTGAGATTACTCATAAAATTTTACCTATATCTGAATCATCATCGTCATCGTGTATTGTCATTTATCAATAGCGTTCATATGTTAATGAGGTTCTAAGTACCAACCAACTCTATCGGGTTTACGAGCATGCTTGTCGGTTTATATGTCCCATTAATGAATATGTAGAGAAATGCTGCTGCTGTAAAAAACAATATTTTCTTTTATCACTCAACTCATTTGCAGATAGGTTGGTACGGGCCTTCTGATTACGTAGGTTATACCTAAGATAATGATTATATTACGTCCCATTTGCATAATCATGTATGCGTCGCATATGATCAAAGAATTAATTATTATAAAAAGCTTCTTTGCATTCGCAAGGTGTCGATTGTAGGTGATTGTCGAATGAATTGGAATATAAGGGAGAGTCCGCTAATTTGGACCAGTTTTTTTCAATCCCATTTTACACATAGTTTTCTTTTGTTTTTGCTAATGTCCATGGTATATAATAAAAGATAAATTATTCAACTTACTATTTCATAAGTATTAATTAACATGATTGTTGTATATTTGGCACAAATCAACAAAATACGAACTCAGAACTTCGGTCCAATTTAGCCAACCGGTTCGATAATTTGTACCACAGGGTTACTAAATTGGATTTCAATATATTTCAAGCCTATAAAAAAACTATGGCAAAATATTATACGATACATTCTTAACAAATTAGGAAACGAAAAGGAACAGTATTTAATAACATAGACAATCGATATTGTTCTACACGTTATCACGATTTTGAGTACAAGTTTTGTAATTCCAATTATCGTAACGCACACTTGTACCTAATCTACTTATTGCCAGTATTTTGCTTTCATTTATTGTTAGTCAAACATAACTACACTATTATAATATGATTTACTAAAAAAAAATCAAAATCCTTTGGTAAAGTTCCATACAACTTGATGTGGTACAATTTAGCCGACTAGGTTATAGTGCTTTTAAAAAATCGGTAAAAAATATAGCTTATAAATACCGAAAAATGTTTCAAATAATTGTAATCCGCACTAATTTACGCTTCTAAATAATATATTAGAAACACCCTGTGATTAAATTTAACAAAATTACAAACTAAACATGCATTGTCAAAAGTTACTTGAAAACAATGAAAAAATACTTTTCAAAATAAAACACACGTGTTTGTTGTCACGGCAAAAACCACATGGCCGATATTAATTGAATTTAGTTGTGTATCGCTGAGTGTTGCAAATGTTGCAATTACAGACATTCAATAAATACTTTACGAAATATGAGGGTGGTACAATTTACCCGGCGGTACAATATACCGAACTCTCCCCTATGTATTTTAAAATGATTTTGCATAAGTAAGTGCAATCTTCTAGTTGGTAGACTCTGGAAAGTATGAACGGCACAAATTGTAGACTTGCGATATAAGATTTTATCATGAAAATAATCTCTTCTAGTTAAGCAAGATACTATCTACAAAACTAACACATGTAGAGCAAAGGCATCTGTTTAGATTGGGTTGCACTATCTTACTTTAACTTTAACAAACGTCAAAAATCTGTCAAACTCCATACAAAAAGCATCGGTTATCGTCAAAGTTACGGTCAAAGTTAGGTGGTGAAACTCAGCCTTAAGTTGTCATAGGAATTAAGTTAAATATGATAAATGTTAGATTTGTGTGTGAAAAATAGTTCCGTTATCGGTCAGCTAGGTTTGGGTGTGTGTTAAGTGTTAGCATATCGAATTTGAACTGCAGTTAACCCAAACTTATCGCAGTGCAAACATTCTCGATACAGGCCAGCGCGATTAGTGGGTCACTCGCAACTTTGCTAACGTGGGCTTAACGGTGAAAAGCCGGTTTTAAAGTTGTAAGGCTTTTAGTATCCGAACGTCTGTAAATATTTCATTTCGTCGGCCTCGATGACTCGGTGCATCATAATTTCAGGGTACGATTCCGGGTTTTGGGCAAGTTTGAAACTTTTTGGGCAATGATTCATTTTTTGCCATGAACAAGTAGGTATGTATCTATGTATGTATGTTTTGACCTTTGTGGTCTTTTCAGAAAGATGAGCGGTTATACATGGCGTTACTGAACCTAATTCAAAGATAAAATCTACACTAAGCCGGATACACCTTTGTAACACCATGCTTGTGCATGCTGCAGGGAATTTCCTATTTAGGTTCTACACTTAAAGTAAAGATGAACGGAGATAATTTCTTGAGAACTATCAGCGGAGGTCAGAGAGGGCAAACCAACAAAGTCCGCGAGTATCATTTAGAAGTAATTTATTATCGTCGTTCGTCGCAACTAGGGATGTTATGGATATGTAGTTTCGGTTATGGATACGGTTACGGATATTGAAATAATATTATACCGGTTTCGGTTACGATTACGGATATTTTTTTCATTTCGGATATCTGAAAGTTTCGGTTACGGTTACGGATATCTGTGCTGTATAATGCAAATTGCAATAGTTGCCTAACACAGTTCATGCCTTACGAATAGAATGGGTACAGAAGAGATTTCTTTGGCATCTGTCTCCTTCTTTTGGTATCACAGAAAAGCTTTTAAAAAAACTCATGTAGATACTTCAAAATGCAATAATTAAATCAGCGTAGGGACTTGCTTGACTCTGCCTATATCCGAAACTATCCGAAACTTTTGAATCGGTTATGGTTACGGTTACGGATATTTTTTTATTTCGGATATCCGAAAGTTTCTGTACCGTTATGGATATCCATAACATCCCTGGTCGCAACATTGCTTCAAATGATTCCGAGACCATGTCACGGTTCAAAACTAGTTTTGGGAATGGCGACGTATGATTCATTGAGCTTCGGTAGATTTGCATGTTACAGTCTGATAGAAATCGAAGTGAAAGTAGTTAACGTGAAACTAATGTAAACTTATTCATAGCAGCTTTTTATTGAGGTAGAGGCTATGTAATCGAACTTGTAACTTATAATTATTTCCGTTAGTTTAATAAGTATATCTACTACCTTGACTTTCTAGGACCTTTTTTTCCCATTGTTCGTCCACCTTTTTATTTTTTCTAGGTTTTTTTAAAACAATTAGGTATTTTATTCGTAAGCCTACTTGGGTGTTGAATGAATCTTGACCTCTGACTGATTATAATCGCATTTTCACACGGCTATTAGAAGGCGTTTTAAATATTCTATTGTAGGCAAGATTTTTGGGTAAATTTATTAGATAATATTGTGCCTAAAGGTATAAAAAACTTTAATCGCTTTTGATAGAGTAAAAGGGTTTGAATGTACAAAAGCGCAGCGCAATTAAAACTTTCGATAGATTAACGTAAACTCTTATTACAAAGAATTTTCTTACGCAAGAAGGTAAAAAACTCATGTAGAGGTGTACCTACGATAGCTTGTGTATATTGGATTGTCCATTAACTAATGTCCCAAATAGCTAAATTGGTTAAGTGGACGGTTATCTTCAACCTCCAACTATAGGCGCGACGACACGGCCAACATTTTTTAAAATTATATGCTACCTAAGGCACTGGTATTTCAAATGTAAACGAATCTTTGTTAACATAGTGTATGTGTAATGTTTGGTTACATAAATAATTACAATGCTTACGTGCGAAACGAATGAATAATTATATTCTTCTGACTAATAGATCATAGTGAACCTTGGGCGATTACCACTTTTTGTCTGCTTATAGGTAAAATCTTAGAAGGAAAATATATTAATAGATATATCACAATTCTTATACCATCAGCATAAATTGAAAATCCACATCCGCAGTACAATTTATTCATTCAACTGATGCCACCTAGTCTGATAGAGCGATAGGAGGTAATTGACTTCAAAGACATGTTTCCGTTATTGTAAGCTATCAGTAATGGCCTCTTGTAAGATATACGGGTGTATTGTATAATTGTATTAAGCTTATGGCTTGAGATTGATCACGGAAGCATCTAGCCATGTAAAGAAAAACACGTTTCTCGCGACCCCGACTGTAGGGACGACCAACGGCAAAACGAGTTGAAAATAGGTACTGACATCGTATGTGGATCTCCATAGATGCGATTTTGCAACCAATATTATGTAGTCCGATCTGTTGGCGACTGTACTTTGAAACTGCTGCTCTCAAGCAAACGAAGTAGATTAAGTAAACGCAAGTTACATTGTGGCGGTTTAAGTGTTAGGTCACGAGTCACGATATGGGCCCGTAACTTAGGCATAGCTGCAGCTTGGATAAGCTAGAATCTAGATATCAACAGAGCATAGTTCACATAATGCCTTACCTTATCCATAACATTTGCGGAACGGTTTAACTTAGCTGTCGCGATCAACGGGCTCACTTTTACTCAAGGAATTTTATGATTGGGCGCAAGATTTGACAGTTACCTTAATCATATCAAAGAAAGCTTCATTGTCTGAATTCCTGGAGAAGGCAGCCAAATGGAAAGGTCGCGTTGAGGTAAAATGAGTAAGTTCGAACCTCATTCATTCACGGCCAAACGGCGGATGAATCACCGCAAATTACTCTACGCCACTTACTACAGACTGGTTGTTTTGTCGCTGAGATCACATAAAAGGCATAATTAACATAAGTTGTCATGAGTCTTACTATTCGGTACTACACACGTCCGGAAAATTAGATACTATGTTAGCAAAGTGAATCATCAATGTAAATGACTACTCGTCGTTCATTTAACTCGTAAATATTAACTACTTCGTAGTAAATTTTATCACTTATCATTTCCTTATCAAAAACATTTTAAGATGTGCTACTGTAGCAGATAGCAGTGCTTCAGTGCAGGTTTGAACATGAGCGCATGGACAAAAAAAAACCTTTTTCAGAATTCGCGAAAATTTCGTTCCGTCTCCTTTTTCTGACTTCCTCTGGAATCAGTCGTCATAAGCTGTAGTCTGCTCATCATTATACCTTTAGTGGGATGCATAACCGTGAAAACCGTGATTTTGTCTGTCATGTTCACTTGGTAGCTTTACCCAACATTTGACCATTTCGCAATTCGTATTCTTCTTCCATCATTCTAGAATCTAAACATCACGCGGAAAGGAAATATTTTTTATGTATTCAATTGTTAGCATAGCCTCATTTCGCTAATTTTGTTGCAGAGTAGGAACTTAACTCACTAATGACCAGCAATGATCATTAAAATCTCGACTAGTCTGATAGGAAATTACAATTAAAAAGAGCTATAATTTTGCAAAGATTAAGTTAACTTGCTAATGATCCTGTATTGTATCCCTTTGCATCAACGCAGATTGAAAAATTATATTTCCTCGTAAATTCCTTTACTTAGAGAGATTTCGCGGAAAAGAACCCTTTTTCGTTTCTTTATTTTGACGATGATTCATTCAGTTGATTTCAATAATTTTATTGTCTTGGAGGAGTTAAAAGAGCATATAAGTAGTTACATTTTACAGAACCTCTGGTTTATGTTTATTTTAGGACTTTATTGTTTTACATATGGGTGATAATGTGATTAAACTGGGAAAATTATTCCATGGTTTGCTGTTACACTTACGTAATATTCAAGTGTAAACCAAAATGATGTGACAATTGTTATTGTTCAGGTAGCAACATTAGCATGCTGTAAAACAAACAACTTACCCAGCACGGCCACGAAGAATAAACACGCGGAGTACTGCGCCATTTCACGAATAAGCCCTGGAACGATAGTTAGTTGAGTATAGTTATTATTGTTTATTACCTAGGCCAGTTTGAGGGCAGTGCTAGAAGCCTTTCGATGTTGACATTAGGATAATGCTAGGAGTTGATATACATAATGTTGAGGCTTTCCTGAATTTTCCGTTTTTTTATGCATATCAAGGCAGGTATTTGACCACAATCGCACTTGGTGTTAAGTGTAGGATGCAGTCTAGGATGGTACATATCTGCCCGGATTATAGTCTTCGGGAAAGACAGCATCAGGCAGCGAATTATTATTTAATAATATTCTCTTCAGAAGTCAGATTCTGAGTGTATTATTTTAATAATATTCTGTACTTTTATTCTGTGCAGGAAATCAGAGCCACCTCAGAGCTAATGTAAGTTTCACTTTATTTACGTAGACGTAGGAAACATTATCTAGGTAGGTACTACCTGCGTAGTTCAACGCATTAGAACATGCTTATCTGGTTACCCTTTGTCCAGAACATTAGTATAAGCAAGTAGTGAATAATATTGTTATGAACAATACGAAAGATAAGGCATAATAGGGCAGTCTTTATTTTAATGAAGAGCATTTTGATCTCGTTATGTGTCAGTTTCGAATATAAATTGGATAAGTTATCTTCAATTAAAAATTATTACTTCTCATCAGAAACTTCCATTCGCACTTAATAAAATATCTTATCAACTAAAATAAAAGATAAAACAAACAATGATCTTACGCTAAAATTCCGCAACTTTGAGATTCCGGTATCACAACTACAACTAGACAACAGAAACACTTTCGCGGTGTAAAACTATACCAAACCAGTTCTGGAACAAGACTAAAAATACCTGAACTCGTCTCGGAGATCTGAGTTGGGTTTGCACGTTCGTTTTAATTGAATGTCCGGTGGTTGTGTCACTTTTGTTTTGGTCACATGCGAGGGTGGCGCGAGCGTGCGCCGGCGGCGGAGGCGTGCGGTACTCTGGTCCTCGCGAGCCTCGCTTGCACCCGGCGCGGGAGCCGCTGACCTCACCGATGCAGGAAGTCCACTAAATTCAGCATCACGTGGACACGGCGTCGAAGTTGCTTCGAAGCCCTACGCTTTGACATGGTAAAGTATGAGTAGGTACTGTCTTAATCCATGTCGAAATGACTGATAAATCTTAAGGCTTATCTTACTTGACCCGATTGGCTCAGTGGGGCGGTGTTATCGAACGCAGCGGATCCCGGGTTCGAAAATTTCTAACGAAACGAAACGATATTTCCTCAATTCGTATCTGGGTGTTACTGGGTTTGAGTTTTTGGAAAACATATTCATTTTCTGCGATATCGAGACTACACGAAGTTCAAGCTTTAGGACGCAGACTAATTTCATGTTTATCATGTTCCAATTCAGGGATCTTTCATCAAATTGCGTTACAGTTAGCTCTACTTTGTTAACCTAAATCAAAAATCCATTCATATAATTTTTGGTGTAACAGTTCCAAATACAACCACAAAGGCTGGCGATAATGATGATATCTACTCAATTACATTCACTGTTATGTGTAACATTGTTCGTTGCCGTTGCGGCATGATCGCGGGATCGCGGCATCCTGCGCCCGCGCCGCGGGAATCCGTGCCGGTGACCTCGGGCTCGGCACCGCGAGCGAAAAATAAATGGAGGTGTCACTACTGCAGTATTATTTGGCTACTAAACTTTTGCCCGCGGCTTCGCGCACGTGTATTTCGGTTTGACTCAGAAAGTCTTTATTTCCCTTCCAAAAACCAGGGTTCATCCTATGTTTTAGCCATTTACAGGTAGGTAAGTTTATCTATGTTGTATACTACTCTTTGTATGTAAATCTTCAAGCCATTATTAGACCGAAGAGTAGCTAAATCCGTCGAGACAAAGGTGAGACATTTACTTTTAAAACTGCTGGTCTGCACTGCACTGGTCTGGGACAATGGGATGTCATGGGTAGGGAAACGAATCGTGATGAGGCTTAGTAGAAACTTACCTTATAATTTGATTCACAACTTTTGCAAATTAGGTTTTATTTTGAGTCATCATATTTACCTACTCACCTTAAAGACGCGATTTTTCATTTGTGTGCGTTTTTCCTTATCCAAGAAAGTCGTTTTCCGTGCGGAAATACATTTCGATGTTGATTTCTTCACCTCTTACAGAAATCAATTCAATGACACAGATGCAGAAAGTTTTCCAATTGTAATTACAACGACCGCTTAGGGAGAATAAATTAATCATGCAATCTCTTGATCAGGGTAACGGAACAAGGCTTCTTGAAGTTCTTGAGCTGCAGACCATTCAAATAACACGTTTTGTTATTCTTTTATTTTGTTCGATAACGCAGTTTAGCTTCCTTTCTCACTCATGTGAGATTCATCATTATCATAATCATCATGTCATTCAGTCTCCACTGCTGCAGGTGCAAGACACTCCAATTTACCAAAACTGAATGGAGAATTTTTGGCATACAGTGCCTAAGCTGGCCGGACGGATTGTGGAGGACAACAACATCACTATATTAAGGCTATTAACACCTATTACGATGATGTGAAAATGATTAACTTTTATGAACCAACTTGTTAGATTAACTAAAATAAACTACAACACTAATAAGGTCACTGTGTGAACTTTACTTGGCGCATCAGAAATATTCAAATTACTTATGATTTTATCATAACTTTATGACGTGGCTTACTGCTTAAATTAATCATGAGATCTTTGGCTAATGGAAAAAAACGTAAGCAGCACCACAAGATGCCTGAGAGGCAGATGCGTATTTATTAACAGACATGTTTCTCGTTTTGCCTTGTTGGCTCGAAGGCGATTACAGTTTTTGTTCACCTTCGCTTCCAATATGTACAAGTACCTGTTCCATGTACCAACCAAACTCTTTTGCTATCTTAATTTAGATTATTTAGTATAATTTACGAAGAGCAGATGATTAAGGCGTAGGTACCTATTAATTTTAGGTTTATATTTTAGAGCTTTTCAAAGATTAAAGAATGATCATCGAATCTAATAGCATTAATCGAACACACAGCTGCACGATGAGTTCCTTCTTTGTCAAAAAATAAAGTTGTAAACTAAAATAGAGCGCATCTTTAACAATTGCACTATTATAGTGGTGCTTATTGATGATTTGTACTTAGGTGGATAATTGATTCTAGGTCTACTTAATTAGTTCTTTGCTCCTTGTTTGCTCGCAATTGACGTGACCTTTCCCAGGAGGTCCTAAGCCCTAGCGGCGTTACGGTTGTTACACAAATGTTCTACCTCCCCATACACATATCTAACGTATAATTTAATCATTCTCAAAGTAAGTTCGCAGTATGTAGGCGTACTTGACAATGGCTCGCAAAAAGTTTGATTAGTACTTTGGATACCGTTAGCAAGAGTTTTAGCAATATCAATAGCGATCGTTCTTTTTTGCGGACTTATTCGCAGGAAAATGATGCCACGCAGTTCTTTGTTTCATTTTTCAATAGATGGATTGAATAAGGATTGTAGTCAAAGGTCTGCAAATTCATCTTCTCTGCTGTAGGACAGTGCACTCGCTGCAGACAGTAATCCACATTGGCCACAGAGGCCACGTATAAATAAAATTAGTCTGAATTAAGTATTTTTCGTTGCCTAATCATAGTGCAAGAAGATTTTGACAATGACTATGACAAACTAATCAAAATCTCTGTCTCATCTGTGATCAAAACCACCAAAACAATCTCAAATGTTCTGAATAAAAATGTGAATAAAAGTGAATAAATTAAGAAAAGCCAAAAAAATATAAAAATCCTTTTAAAATGTAAAAAAAGAGAAGGATAAATTTTTAATTAGTTACTTGAAAATTACTTGAAGTAAAGTGTTTGGCAATATCTTTAATGATGACGAAGATGAAAAGGAAAAGGTCTTCTACTTGCGTAGCCCGCAGTCGGAACTGCTCAAAAAACTCCCAAGTAAGAAGTACTAGTCAACAAAAAAAGTACTTGAATAAGAAGCAGTTGGCTCTGGATCAAAGGGAAAAGGAGCTGCAGAAAAAGGAAAGAGTGTTGCAACATAAGATAAAAAAATATAACAAACGCGACAACCGCAAAGCAAAAGCAGATAAAAAGGCGGCTAACAAGCTTAATCGTGCCCGGAAAAAGTTGCTTTCAGCACTTGATTCAAAGGACCGATTGAAAAAGAAACGATTAAGTAAAAGTACGATATCTTCTAGAATTTGGAAGCGCGGCAAGGGGAAGTTAAAAAAGAAAAAGCAAAAAAGTTTTATAGATACGATAACTGGGTGCCCTATTCAGTATATTACTGAATTAGTGAACAAGCCATGTCACTGCAATCAGGGATTGGGACGGGTGCGGCGCCGGGTGCCCAACGTGGAGTCGTCGTGTTTGAGAAGAATATTTGGAGGCCCGTGTAGCTGTCAGCCTGCTCCGAAAAGAAAGTATGCAGATGGTTATGGAACAAGGTTGGGAAACATGCTGCAAGCGTGCAGATGTGAGGCGCAAGATGCGAGGACCAGGTATGGGCCGGGTGGAGACTGCTACCTGATGACGCTCAGGCAGACCCCGCAGGTGTGGATCCACCACCGATGGCCGCGGTTGTATCCCCATTACTTGGGCGCGCGACACCAGTGGAAGAATTTACGTCACTGCCTGTTGTTCTGTGCTGGTATTCTGATTTGGACCCCGTGCATACTTTTCTTGGAATTATGTAAATGCTTCTGTTGTGCCTGTTGTTCAGATTGAACTTACCCACGAGAATTACATAATTAATACATGCATGTGTTGAAATTAACCTTCATGTTTTCTTCTGTTCAACCAATAGTTTTTGAATTGAGTTTCCTATAGGTTGTTGAGTCCGACCCTAACCTTCCTGAAAAGAAAGTACACACACCGGCAGATTTAGAGGAACGGAAAAAAAAGCATCAATATCATCATTATTTTAGGAAAAAAATGCCTAATTATGACATTATTTTTTAATTTAATTCTAAATATGAAAAAAATAATTGCCAACAGTATATTTTTTTAATTATTTTGTTTAAATTACCCCATCAACAGTTTCGTTGAGTGTTTTGAATTGAATGAAGCTTTTGCTAATTTGGATTTCTTTTACGTGAAAGATGTTTTTTTCTGAGAATTTTGTTGTGTAAGCATTCAGTTACTTATAAGGGTTTATTATGCCCAGCTTAGCACCGTCAGAAATCATTAAGGCAGATGAAATGAGAAGTAACGGCCATGCATACAAATCGGCTGCCGTAAGACGTCGTTGATCAGTATCGACCACCCATGGCAGTAACCAACGGTACAGATTGATCATTTCTGTCGTTAGGAGGAGGGTTCAAGTCAGAAAAAGGCGTACTTCGCGACGGGATGACCGTTTTTTACAACTTCGAGTTTTCAGAAAGTCGCGGTTACCTGCTGTTCAAGCCAGAAATAACCTTAAAGACACTCGAGGAGTAAGAGTGACTGAGCCCACAGTTCACAGGAGATTTACTGAAGTTGGTATAGGGTCGTGCATACCCGAGAAAGCTCCAACTTGTGACACAGCACCGAAAAAACATATTGAACTTTTCACGTGAATATCGTGATTGGGTCTTGAACGACTGGAGGCATGATCTCTTCACTTATGAGTGCAGAGTTCTCTTAAACCAGATCGATGGAAGATAGCGAATATGGAGACACAAAGAGAACGTAACATTTAGTCTTAATTTTGAAAATATCGTGGTTTATGGAGGTAGCTTAATTCTGGTGTGGGGAAGGATTTTTTTGGGAGCTCGCACGGAGTTAGTGGTGGGTGATGGAGGAAATACGACTTCTGAATGGTACACTAGGAACATTTTAGAAGAACATGATGTGCCATTTACTCCATTTATTGTGGACTCCTTTAGTTTAATTCACGATAATGTTCGTTTTCACAGTGCTCGCTCAGTACAGGCACATCTAAACCATTTGGATATACCCATGATGCAGTGGCTGGCAAGATCCCTAGACAAGAATCCTATAGAGCATGTCTTGGACTTTCTTAAAAGATGTGTTAAACTCAGAATACCACCGGTGATGTTGAGAAACGCGTTACTAGAGGAATGGCAGACATTGCCCCAAAATACCCTTCATATCATTAACTGCAGCATGCTCAGATGAATGGAAACCATCATCAGAGCAAGAGGGGGAAATACCCATCATTAATTCATTCATTTGGATAGTGATAAGCTACCCTAATTTTTAATCTGGCCACAATTTCTAATTTTTGTTCAAAACTGAAAAATTGAAATTTCGTTTCGATGATTTTTTATTAAATAAAAACGACTAAATATTTAAAAAATATATGTTATTTTATTTTATTTTAATTATCTCTTTATTTTGTATAATAAATATTTCATAGATCAGTAGTAATTTTCCTTATTTTCATACTTTTTTTTGCGTTCCGCTAAATCTGCCGGTGTGTGTATGTAGGCCTACTTCCAACACCTACCTACCTGTTTAACTACTTACATTGCGTTTTTTTCATCTGGTAGGCACCGCGACGAAAGCACAACCGAAATAATTCTTGCCTATGCATTTAAGCATAGACAAAACAAATTCAAAACATACCTAAGTAAAATTTACTTTATGAAGTAGGTATTTTTATTAAGAAGGATATGCTATTTAAATGTAGGAAACGTCAATAACGCCACCATGACGCTTAGAATTAATGACGTTTTGTCAATTTTGATAACTTTACATTGCTTTACATTTTAGGAGACGTATTAATTTATTTTATATGTTTATAACATATTTTAAGCTTTTACAAATATACAAATAATGAACTCGTGCTATATTTGGCATACCTACTTGTGTTCAATCATAACATACTCAAACACAGCAAAACGAAAATGAATGTGAACGTGCATCGTCTGAGAGTAGTAAGTTTTGATAAGGCCCTAAGCGAAAAGAGTAGTTTAATAGAAAAGGCTAAAAAGAAATTGAAAAGGAATAATGATTATAAAGTACTGCACAGGACTGTATCAACACAGAAGACAGGCAAAGTAAAAAAAGATAGAAACAAACTCAATCATGCTACTAACACGGAAAGAAAAGTGATTAAAAAGAACAAATACACAGCCTTTACGCCAATTAAAAAGATGAGCCTTGCATCTATTACTGAACTTTTTAGAGTACGTAAAAATGGTAATAATTTTAATGTTTTTGTTACTATGTTGTATTTAACTAAGTAAAGCTTACTAGGCCTAGATAGATACTATAGGAGACTATTAACTAGACTTGCAAATTTTTAACATGATTGAAGATAATCCGACTACACAGGTTTTACTGGCAAATCTGACCATCTCTACATTGGTTTAGGCGACACTGCCATGAAACACATTTTAAAAATACTCTAACATCCTGTATACCTACTTAAATATAGTTTTAAAATAGTGTCATATATAAATATGAGCGTGTGACTAAATTTAATAAACCCTTTTATTAGTTTCAGGGGATTTATTAAAGAGTCTTGCCTCAATTAGAACTATCAGTTTGGATGATATAAAGAAAACACTAATAAATAATGTGTATGGTAAGCGACTGAAGTGTAAACCCAAACAGGGCTATAAATATAATGTTTCTAAGAAGATCGGTCCACGAAAACGTGTTGAAAGTCAGGATGACATTAAAGTTTTATATTCTTTTGAGAGACCTAAGAGTCCTCCTGATCCAGATATAAATATTCCGCCAAAAAATTCTTACAAAAGAAATAATATCCTTCGCAGATCTTCTTCTGATCTATTTGGTATTGCCAGAGCACGCAGGGATACATATTTATGTTACCACACAACCAGAAATACTGGACTCTTCCCTACACCTAAAAGAAGAAAAAAGAGAACAGAATCTACGCCACACATTGTTCACCAAGTTTATCCGTTAAGCATAACAAATCGTAAATCTAAAGATTTGAGGTTTCAAAGAGAGGCTCTTTCAGATCATTACAATGTTGTCGGTTTCCCTAAGACCAGCAAAGTCAATGTTGATGAGCACCGACCGAAACCTCATAAGTGTGTAGCGAGACATAGAGAAGTGTCCCCACGTCCGTCCACTGCTATGTATGTGACTATGGATTGTAAGGGTCACACTAGTAATGCTAAGCGTACTAGTGCAGCAGTATTAACGGAGCCCATATCAAAATGCATGACGTGTATAAAGAAAATTACATCATGCCATGATAGGACACCAGCTAGAAGATCTAACATTTGTTGTACTATCTTTCAAATCTTATGCAATATAAAATGTCCTAAAGTATTGCAAACCACTCTACGGTACTTACTATTAGTTCTATCTATTATCGCTTGGTCACCATGCATTATAGCAGTGGGATTTTGTTGGCTTTTAGTTTATCCTTTGAAGCCAAATTACGTTTTTGAAGACGATAAAGAATTGGATGATGACGAAACATGTTGTAAAAAGAAGAGTGCATTTACCAAGGTAATGGACTGGATTGCCAAAACATCTCAACGCATGGCTTCTTCAATACGTGAAATACACAGATTATTAATGAACAAAGAAGAATGTTGCATCGAATCCCCGAACATCGCACAAGCTTCATCAGCTCCATGCCAAATAACGGCAGTACATAAAAAGAGCCGAACACCATGGCAACCTTGTCCTGATAGGAAATACATTTTGTATTTCGACAGCGTAAGAGGTTGGTTAATGAAACCAGTACGAAATGAAATTTGTGAAAAATGTAAGCGGGCAGAAGTAGTTCAAAATCTTAGTCTCGACCACCCTCATGAGTCCCCGTCACGTCCTAATAGAGCAGTAACTTTTTCGGACACAATGCACCAAGATAAAGGCAATATTGTATCCCGTGAATTTATACACAAATGTAAATGCCCCCCAAAAACCGCTCATAAAAGTAATGCTAATGTATGTACCCAAACGACATGTCGTAAAACTGAGAATCGTCTACCTAAATGTGGCATATGTGTAGATCCAGATGATATTCTTATTCAACGTATAGATAAAAAACCTGACCCAAAAAAAGGACGTAAGAAAAAATCTGTTTTTTGTGCTTACAGACCACCTATTCATAAAAAGACTAGTAAAATGCCAAAAGGTAAGTCTCTGAAGTGTCGCAAGTGTAAACCACGTACACGTGCTCCGTTTGCAAGTATGGGTCCTAGACTTAATATGAACCCACGAGGACCTTTTCAGTCAAGAGCAACTGCATTGTATAGTAAAGAGGAAGATGAACCTGATCGTTCCTTAGGTCAAAGATTTTGCGACTCTTGTAAATCCTGTGCACATAGTTTGAAGGAAGTCGTAACTGAAGCAGACAAGGTGTGGGATGTCGAAATGACCTGCAATAACATGTATATTCAGACTTTGAAGAAACGACCTTGTTTCTGGATATATCACTGCTGTAAATCTATGTACCCTGCGTTTTTAGCATTTCACAAACTTTGTTCAAATGCTTGTTATGTCTGCACCTTGTTATTTGGCATTTGTGTGTGGTGTCCACTGTTATTATGTTGTTATGGGCTATCTTGGCTTGTATGTGGATGCAATTAATTTAAATACATATTTAAAAAAAACTCTTTATTTTTTTATACCTACGCCCATCCGACGTTAATTAGGCCACATTTTGAAATTATTTCGTGATTAACTATTCGCAATAACGTGGCAATAATGACTAAATGATACACCTACTTACATGATGTAAGGAATGATCCTTAAAATCTCACTAGTTCTGATGGAATTACCTCGGTGGAACCGGTGAAACTTTTTCTTATCATTATTTCAATATTATTGAAGCCATGATAGCCGAACAGTGAAGGGATCAGACTAGCCGACTCGTGTTCCGAGAGACGCGGGTTCGATTTCTACCACTGCTCGACTATTGTGGTGAGCCCTTTCGTAACATAATTATTATTATGCTTAATTTAGCCTACCACGAGGGACTATGGGGAATTATGGAATTTTAGGCGGTGAGGGTATTTATTATAGTTCATAATCATGTAGGTCCATGTTCATAATATTGTACATTGTGTAAGTTTCAATAATGACATTTTAAAAATTAACAATCAATCTAACAATGAGTTCGTTAACAAGATTCAAACAGTCCCGCCCGCCAAGATTTCTGCTGAGAAATTACCAACATATATTTTTTTTAATTTTTAAATTCATGCTCATTATGATAAAAATTAAATCTGTTCAAATTAATTATAATTATTTAAAAAAGCGATTGTAACTAGAATCGGAACGCGGCCAAATGTCACTCTCATTTTGTCATTTGTCACTTGTCAGAGTTGTTGTCAGTGTCAGAGTTTGTTGACGTTTTGTTTTGTTGTGTGAACTCAAGGTTTTTTCTAAAATATCAAAATTACAATCAATTTGATTACAATTTATTTCGTCAGCTTTGTAGATATATGAGATTCATGCCAACATGCAGGCTGAAGATAAGCGTACCAAGCACCCAACAGACTTGGCATCTTTGGAGCCTGCTGCGAGGGTGAAACAGCTTGCAAACTACGGGACCATGGTCGAAGTGGACCCTAATGTCCCTCCTCGAAGGTAATTCCTCACTCCTAGATAACAAACGAGAATGTAACTTACTGCCTTTCAAACTCATAAAACCTTGTGCATGTAGCTAAAAGTGTGAACTCTACTGATGACTCATTGAAATTTACATTAGGTTTATTTAATTAACGCTTTGGGAACGTTTCCTCGTTTTATATGAAGTATTCGAATTACATTGCTTTTACAGGTATTATCGTTCAGGGTTAGAGATGGTGAGAATGGCCAACGTTTATCTGGCTGAAGGCAGTCTCGAAAATGCTTACATATTGTTCATGAAGTTTATGACCCTCTTCTTGGAGAAGATTCGGAAACATCCGGAGTATGCGTCTGTTCCGGCGCAAGTGAAGTCTGTGAATCAAGCCAAGCTCAAGGAAGTCATGCCCAAAGCTGAAAAACTTAAGCAAAAACTTCTGGAACAGTATGCTAAAGAACACATAGCATATAAAGAGAATGAGGCAAGTATTTCCAATCATACAAATATTGGGTATTGGCCATTTTTTAATGGTATTTGATGATTTTATGGTAGCTTTGCTTGTTGGATTTTTAGTCTGAGTTGTGTTGCTAAAGTTTTAAATAGGGATGAAAATATGTGGGTTACACATTATTTTGTTTGCCCTCAGGAGAAAAGACGTAAGATGGAGGAGGAAAGGAAAAAGCAGGAGCGTGAAGATGCAAAGTTGGCAGAACGATTGCAGGCTGACGAAGACAGACGAGACACAAATCATCCCACGCCACATTTGATGCATGCGGTATGTTACATATTATCTTGATATATTTATGTCTGTTCTCTGGTATCCATAGTACAAGCTTTGATTAGTTTGGGACTAGATGGCTAACTGAAAAAGTATAAGTATGCGTTAAATCAACAAGACTTTTTCAAGTCTTGTTCTGGCTGCTACAACTCCTGTGTAGCCAGAATCTACAGCTTGACTGCCAATAGAAACACAACTTTTAAATCCAGGCAAACTTCGAATTCCACTGTCCATCGTGACTAAACGCTCGACATTGGCAAAACCAGTGTGCTTCAAATTCGCGCCATTGAAGCCATTACACAGAATAATAATAATAAATAAATAATGGGGTCCTTTGTAGAGTGCAGACTGGACTTCTTAAGGCCGGGTAGCAGAGAAAATGGCGAAAATGAGGTTTTCATTTTTCATTTTTGAGGTACTAAACAGTAAAATTAAAGGCTAAGATTTTTATTGGGCATAGTTGAGGATATTTTCGAGGGCTATTAACGGATGGAAACACGATTTGATGAAGTTGACTCGATAGAATAAATTCCCAAAGTTACCTCTATTCGTTTTCTATTTATGGTTTTATTTTTAAAATAAGCGATTTGAGATTCTAAATCTTTTACTAAACTAAAGTTCAGAAATAACTTGAGGGCTTTTAACGGATGAAATTTTTATATTGCGTCTTATTTAGTTACTATGTTAAAAAATGTGGAAAAAATCGTCCATGACGGCTTGGACAATCTCAATCAGTCGCGCGGTGGCGCTTACGGAGGACGGACGCGTGTCAGTTTTTTGGCCGTGACAGTTCGCGATTTGTCAATATTTTTGACAATGATGACTTTGATGAGTCACAGTATAATAATATCAGTGTTACTGGAGAAAGCTTAAATTTTTGATAATTAAAAATTATCAATTTTGTCTACCTATTGAAATTTAAATCGTTCGCATCCTTTTAAACGAAGACTCTACTCATGATACATAGTACATTCCTCAAATATGAGACAAAACCAATGAGTTAAAATTACATTTTAATAGTACCTACATACAATCGTCTTACACTCTTTAGAAGAGCACACTGACACAAATAAATAATAAAAAATACTGTCTAAGGTCTGTAGCTAAAGGTCTAAGCTGTAAGATAGAAGAATCTTCTAGCCAAAAAGATGGCAGATGCAGCAGATGTCAACGGATTTAAAACTGGAGTTCATATGACTCCTTGTAGACTTGAGTCTCTAGAGCGTCCCTTCCTCCACCATGCGTAAGAATTTTCACAAAAATACTGTCTAAGGTCTGTAGCTAAAGGTCTAAGCCGTAAGATAGAAGAATCTTATAGCCAAAAACATGGCAGATGCAGCAGATATCAACGGATTTAAAACTGGAGTTCATGTGTATCCTTGTAGTTTTGAGTCTCTAGAGCAGTGGTTCTTAACCTTTAAGTCATGAGGGACCATTTTACCAAATTTCTGTCTTGTCAGGGACCACCTCATAATCGGTCAAAACCAGTTTGACTGCAAAAATCAGTTAAAAGTGGTTTTGACCAAGGTGTGCAAGTGCACATCGTGGACTACTTGGAATGCCTCCAGGGACTACCAGTGGTCCGCGGACCACCGGTTAAGAACCACTGCTCTAGAGCGTCCCTTCCTACACCATGCGTAAGAATTTTCACAAAAATACTGTCTAAGGTCTGTAGCTAAAGGTCTACGCTGCAAGATGGAAGAATCTTCTAACCAAAAAGATGGCAGATGCAGCAGATGTCAACGGATTTAAAACTTGGAGTTCATGTGACTCCTTCTAGACTTGAGTCTCTAGAGCGTCCCTTCCTCCACCATGCGTAAAAGTTTTCCAAAAATACTGTCTGAGGTCTAAACTGCAAGATAGAAGAATCTTTTAGCCAAAAACATGGCAGATGCAGCATATATCAACGGATTTAAGACTGGACTGGCACCACCTTGCAATGTCATCCTCTCATTGTTATCTGTAATGTAAATTATTTTTAAAATGTATTTAAAAAATAAAATGTTCGTTTTATTATTTCAATAATCTGACCTCTCAACTCAACTACACTACACAAACACCTTTGTTCGCAACTGTACTGACGAAACCTCGATATTATACCGTTCATTTAAGATGGCAAGCTTTTTGCTGCGGTAATGCACTCCAGGTAACCGTGTGTGATGCTTATTGCTCATAGTGATTTTCGATACAGAGCTCCGTACATACGTTATACATAAATTATGGAAATAAAACACCCAGACCAATACAAACAAATATGTACCTATGCAATTTTAGTATGATGTTTTTATTTATTAATAAACAAAAAGACTGAACAAAATTGATGCGTGTACTGATTAATGTAATTAACCACATGCAAAGCTTTGTGAATTGCAACAACTATAATTTATTATCCAAGCTCTAAATAATCGCTACTACGAGTAACATAACTGATTATAAAATGTTTTTCCAATCGCTCAAGCTCCCGAGGATCTACTGATAGGTCGGGTGACGTAATCTTGAAATTCTTTTAGCCGGCGCGGAACTTCCGGAAGGTCGGGTGACGCCACGCCTCTTTTTTACTTTGGCAGTTATATTCTATATTTATTCGATTCTAAAATATATTCCCAAAAATTTTGAAAGTTGTTTTAATTTGTATCACTTGGATATGATTTGTATTAGAAAGTGCTGTGAGTGTGACGCTTGAACGGAAGGAAGTCAACCTAACCTAACCAACTGCGTATTTCTATACTGTGTAGCCGCGAGAGCTCTTTGGCGCGCTGTCTTCGGCGAAGTATTGCGCGCGCAGATTTTGACAGCGCGAAATACCTACTTTAGCAGAAATACCAAGCCTTAACATTAATCTGTGTAAATAACCAGGAGAACTGGGCTGTATCGCCGTCAGCGCCGCCTGTAGACGGCGTCCTATACCCTGACGACTTCGCCGCCGAGCCACCGCGGGCGCCGTCCCATCAGTATACACCAGTGCCGCCGCTTATACCGCCTTCAAGGCCACAGAGGTAGGAAAAGTTCCATTTCAACTAAATTAGTAAGACACGGGTCTTAACGCGACGTTTATTAATGAGTTATATTATGTACTGTATATAATAAACGTCGCGTTAAGACCCGTGTCTTACTAATTTGGTAAGAAAAATGTTATCTATTTGTATCTGGACGATTCTAATAGAAGTTACTTTGAAGTGTTCTTTTATAATAGTGAATATTTGTATAAAACTTTGAGGATAAATTATTGGTTTTTAATGTCTAAAATTGTAGGAGGATAACTATACTGGAAATAATAAGTATGAGTGATTTTCCATTAAGATTACCTAAGAGAATTTTATACTTAGACATTAAATTTTGTTTTAGTGAGGCTTTAACTTACTTACTAACTTTGACTGTTGAACTAGGGCTCCCGCAAAAGATCACAACGGCCGGCTGCTTAGCCTAGAGTTGAGAATCCTGTAGAGTTCTATTTTTTACTTTGAGCGAGACTAAGCCGTATGTTCATGCAATAAGGCGCATTTTGCACATTCAGCAGCGACAGCACGTTCTACCCGGCGCCGCTTTAGACGCGGCTGGTAAATCTCAACTCGCATGTTAGTATTAAAGCCATAAAGTTAAAAATCAATTGAAGTTGAGTTCTCATTTTGTCGTAGATTACGCCTTATATCCTCGCTATAAGGTGTATATTTCCCCAGCACGTTTGACGCGGCGTCGCTGTAGTAAATTAGTAACTCGTTAAAGGCCTATTGAGTTGAAAATCCTTTGAGTGGTATTTGTCATTTTGAGGCAGTCTGGCCCGTATGCACACGGAATAAGGTGTATATTTCCGTATCCAGCAGCGACAGCACGTTCGACGCGGCGCCGCTATCGGCGCGGCTGGGGCTGCGGCCAGTACGCGTGCCGGCGGCGCTGTTGCCACGCTTCCTACAGCTCGCGGCTCCTAACACGGCGCGGAATACTGAGACCTGCGGCATCTTAGCTGGCGTGCTGGTTAGTACTTAACCACATAGGAATAAGGTCTATATTCGCATGCAGCAGCGACAGTGTATGTTATGCGGCGCTGTTGCCACGCTTCCTACAGCTCGCGGCTCCTAACACGGCGCGGAACACTGAGACCTGCGGCATCTTAGCTGGCGTGCTGGTTAGTACCCAACTACACAGGAATAAGGTCTATATTCGTCTGCAGCAGCGACGCGCTTGTGATGCGACCTGCGGCATCTTAACTGGCGTGCTGGTTAGTACTTAACTTCACAGGAATAAGGTCTATATTCGCATGTAGCTGCAACAGCGCGTGTGATGCGGCGCTGTTGCCGCGCTTCCTGCAGCTCGCGGCTCCTAACACGGCGCGGAATACTGAGACCTGCGGCATCCTAGCTGGCGTGCTGGTTAGTACTTAACTACACAGGAATAAGGTCTATATTCGCATGCAGCTGCGATAGCGTGTGGTGCGACGCTGTTGCCGCGCTACCTGCAGTTGGCGGCTCCTGACACGGCGTGCAATACTGACACCTGCGGCATCTTAGCTGGCGTGCTGGTTAGTACCCAACTACACAGGAATAAGGTCTATATTCGCATGCAGCAGCGACGCGCTTGTGATGCGACCTGCGGCATCTTAGCTGGCGTGCTGGTTAGTACTCAACTACACCGGAATAAGGTCTATATTCGCATGCAACTGCAGCTGGCGGCTCCTAACATCGCGTGCAATACAGAGCATGCGGCACCTGCGGCATCTTAGCTTGCGTGCTGGTTAGTACGCCACACCATTACCAGACAAGGGCCTAGGCACACCACGTTTTTTTAGGACCCATTTCACTCTTAAACACTTTACGGTTGCTTGTCAGATGGGCTGTGCTGCTTATTTTGTAAAAATCCAAATTCAAAAATGTGTCGACAGCATTAATAACCATGCCAACCATATAATGTGTCCCATGCACACATTATAAAATGAATTTCAATTTTGACCTAGGTTCTCTAGGTTTGGTAATTATAAAATTCTATGAATAAACCAATAATTAATCATTTGTCTCCCTATGTCTCTCTCTGTTCTGCTCTGCTCCTTTCTCTTTATCCCGCTCATCTATATAAATAAAAATGAATTGATGTTCGTTAGTCTGATTAAAACTCGAGAACGGCTGGGCCGATTGAGCTGATTTTGGTTTTAAAATGTTTGTCGTAATCCAGGGTAGGTCTAAACGGTGAGCAAATACGCGTGCGATATTGTTTTTCTGTGACAGACAAAATTTCACGCGGGCGAAGCCGCGGGCGGAAAGCTAGTTTTAAATAAAGTTATCCAGTATTAATGCTGTGAAACAAAACGCTCTTTTTGCAGGAGCGTGACGAGCTCAAGATCACGCACGTGGTGGTGCCGAAGCAATCAGGTACTCCGGACTCGTGCAGCACTACCAACGAAGAGGAGATCTTCCACTACCAGGACCAGCACAACCTCATCACGCTCGGCTGGATACACGTAAGTGTAAAATGATTTTTCTTGTCTCGATTACTACAAAGCATGTCCCAAAAACAAAATTTCCATGCTCCCAGCGCCATTTTTTTCCAAAAGTTAGTAACACGTTAGGCCCAGAACAGACGGTGAAACGCAACTGCAACGAAATTGCAACTACTAGTTATTTTTGAGTTGCATCTAAGTTTCTGCCATAGCGTCCGTTGAGAGACCACACATGACGCGACCAGTTTGAAACTTTCAGTTTCAGTTTCATTCATCAGAATCATAACAAAGTTGCAGTTTCGTTGCAGTTGCGTTTCACCGTCTGTTCTGGGCCTTACTGTTACCTCCTTATTAAAGAAAAGTTACACCCGGGATGAACACTGGATTAAAATGACATTTCCATATTAAATGACTGGTGTAACTTTGATTAATAAGGAGGTACTGGCTTTTTTGAACGCAAAAAATACAAAATACAAATGTTCAAATACAGCTTGATCAAAATGTATAAAACAGCAGATTTTATTGGGACTCAGGAGTTAGTCCCATAGTGAATGTTGTAGTCCCATAGTGAGTCCCATAGTGTTCATAAGTAAAATATCGAGACGGTAAAAAATCATCCTGTATATTTTTTCTAAAAGTTAGTAACATAGGCGTATAGAGTAACCTTGTATATTGTGTTCTATGGTTGACGTATTAAGGTTTACTTTGCTTTGCTAACAGACGCACCCGACGCAGACGGCGTTCCTGTCTTCGGTAGACCTTCACACGCAGGGCGCCTATCAGCTCATGATGCCGGAAGCCGTCGCAATCGTGCAGGCGCCCAAGTACAACGAGTGAGTACCTTATCCCATTGATTTAAGATTCATAATGCAATGGTGTCGGTGGACCTTCACATACAGGGCTACACAACTAGTTGGTAAACTCAATCGTCACTAGTTCACAAACCTTACCCCATTCTTCTTCTTCTTTTCGTGTCGACAACAAACCTACACAGTGTCAGCCCAAAACTCCGCCACAAGAGTGGCGTTGTCAGTAGCACTCATCAAATCCTCCTGAGTGCAGTTGCTTGGGCACTCAGGGCACGACATCAGGTGCTTCATCGACTGGGGAACAAAACTGCACCTGCACTCCATGTTTAAGCCATCCAAGAATCCCCACCTGACCAGATTGTCCTTACTACGGCCAACCTGCGTCCGAAGTCTATTTAAAGACTTCCAGTTAAGCCAGGGGAGCTCATGTCCAGGTGGAGGACTCTCAGACACAGGGACAAAAGGGCAGGGGAGATCAGCTCTCTCGCGTCATAACCTGCGTCTCTCTTTTGACCGATCGTCATGAAGGAGTTACCATTACCAGGCCTGTTCATCTCCGCGAGTTTACATCGAAAACAAAACACGCACGATGGCCCACCTACAGGATACTATTCGACAAGGCCTCACATACGAGCGAACATTGACTCATGCACGCGTATTCTTGTGTATGATGGAAGAAAATAAAGAAAATGGTGTACTAAATACTGTGCAGTATTTAACTGCCTAAATAATAATAAAAACACAGAATGTACTTTTTTAAGTTGCCTCAAGACACTGAGAGGTAAATAAGTAGTTAATATTATTCATGATAATTCATGCTAAATCATGTATTTCCTCCGCCATTTTCCGCAGTTTGGCACCTCACGTCACATCATTTTACCGAAGTCAGCCCTATAGCTTCGGCGCAGTGCCGATCACTGACGTTTGTCAACAAAATGGTGCTTGACTCTTGAGACAGGCTAAATTACACCATATTGTTAATGACATTGAGCATACATTTTTTTAAATACCTTCGCGAAGTAAAACTTTATGTACGTAGTACTTATTATTATTCTGTGCCATTACCCCATTAGTTTAAGGTTCAAAATTAAAAATGTAGACTAGTTGCTACTTTGATTGCATTCCATATTGCTTCTTATTTCGTTGCAGGACGGGCTATTTCGCTTTAACGCCGGAATACGGCATGGACTTCATCGCCAAGTGTCGCCAGACGGGCTTCCACCCGCATCCCAATGACCCACCGCTGTTTTATGTAAGTTTAAATAAAATATTACTTGTAATTTTTAATATTTAATACGTTAATTATTTATAAGCCCGATAAGCCCTTACAATTTAGCTCACAATTCACTTGTGTGTGATGGGAGTGAGATCACCCTAATAGTCGACAGGGATTGAACTACATGTTTTGACATTTTTTTAATGAAATGTTTACTATCTTACTTACTTCTTACTTTTGGATCTAGTGATTTTTTTTTTGTAAAGCTATTTATGTATAACTGTGTAAAATTGGAAACCTTTTCATTCAAAATTGCACCTATTTCAGTACACAAGATACAGCAGGGCAAAGCTTGAAGTGCTTTAACTAATACATGAAAATTATTGAATTCATTTTATAATCGTTTTGGATTTTATAACGTGTATAATTCAAATAAAATATGCTGTTTCAGGATGTCAAACACATTCGGCTAGACCACACAGCGCCGGTGGAAATGGTGGACCTCAGGAGATGAGCTCACCATCCACCCACGCTCGCCGGTAACACGCATTTATAGTATTACTGTAATCCGATTGCAGTAACTTGTATATTACATCATGTAACGCTCCTCGAGCTTGTAGATATTACAGAGTATTTTATTTATTGCCCGAAAATGTTGTTTACCTACTTTAAAGTTATGGCCGTTTAAGGGATCACGCTAATATTTTCTATTTAGATTTGCAATAAGATATTAAAGTTATTTAAAATTATTTTAAAATAATACACATCGTGTGATTGAATTAACGAAAAAGATGTTGATTTTTTCAACACCTACAGTAGAATAGACACTTTGATTATTTCAATTAAACTTTCTGTCAATAAAATGCGTAAAATGAGAAACTATGTAATCACAAAACAAAATATTTAGCAACACACCTAACAACAAAACGCTCTTCACTCGCATTTACTTTACCGTAGTTATACAACCCGCGCGACATTTCGATTAAATCAACAACATTTCTTGTTTCTCTCTTTACACCTCGCACGATTATTAGAAATCTACTTTACAGTTCTTGACACCATGAATATACGGTAGAAATATGATCGGGTGTTGAAATAAAAGTGTCATGATAAATAATGATATTAAACTTCCCAAAAACAAAACACGAATATAAACAAAGCTCACATTTTGTATGCACTTTACTAATTCCATAAATACTAGGTACCAGTGGACGTTCGTCTGTCTTTGTCAATTAATGTCTTCTTCAGAGTGGTAAGAGCTCCCTACTTTATCTCTAAAAGATTCGTTTATTACGCGCGTGATATTTTAAGGCACAGACGAAGACTGACTTATATGTGTATCATATAAATCTTCGAATATTCCATAGTACTTTTTAACCTTTAACCAGGCTACAAAAATAAATTTTTCAACCGTATTTTCACAGCATAAAGTTCAAATTGATGTGGGCTCTATAGCTTCCAAAGCCTGGTTAAGGGTTGTCTACGTTCCACGTCTGTGACAAATTCGAATTAACACTGTGATTTATATTAACAATTATTGTTTATAGCGTTAAATTGTTAAGTCATTTGTTTGTTCTGTTTATTGTCCATAAAAAGAAGAACATTTCATTTCAACGCATTTTTAAATACCAAAATAATGTTTTGTTTTAAAATACAAGTCAAACTTGTTATCTTTAAGTTCTCTAACGTTAATGAAAATATTGTTTTGTTGTTCTAAGTGTAAAGATTACGTTATATTTTGTTATGAAGATGATATTATCTAAAATGGTCTAAATATTTCTTACTTTGTCACATCACATTCTATTTATTAACAATGCTTTTGCTTTACACAAAGTTTTAGAGGTTATGATCACTTCTTATTAACCCAGGGTATAGTGCCATTTGTAAGAGAATAGGTATAAAAAAGAAAAATAGACGCTTTCCGCATTTGTTAAGATAAGTTCAAGTAAAAACATAATTCGTCAAGAAATAATGCACTAACTCAAAATAAAAATCATGGCTAATGAGAATTCAGACTCGGTTTTTTAATTCAAACGATACCTACTTATAATTTCGTGAATTACATACTTCAAGATTTGTATACTGAAGAACTTAGAAGTTTTTAGAAGACTGAATTAGGCGATTACGCATTTATTAATTGAAAAAATATAAAGATAGATAATTTTGCTTTAAATAAATAATTACAATACATGGTTATGGTTTTGGTTACAATATTAGAAGGTTAGTAAGCTTTTCAGTTGCAAAGTCTAATATTCTAGATGTGTCACTGTCCACATGTTCTATATCGGTTGATCAATAAAATTGGACTTTCGAACCTATTCTTAATATATTTTTGCCTAATAAAATATGTATAACATCACAACTTGGTTAGAAAGAGATAAAATAACTGTGATTCGAGGATCGTTGGCCCATCTCTTTCCAACGGGCATTATGTATTATTTCTTGACGATATAAGTGTAATGTATTAAACTCATGTTCCGAAGCGTGTCTAATATAAGAGCAGAGTCTTATGTATGTGTGATTCATTATTAATATGGACCAATGATAATAAAACAATTAAATCTAATAACGTATTTTATTTATTGCGTATTATACAGTATTGCTAGGCATGCTTAAATATAACTTAAGATGTAGTGAGTACAAAAAGTAATTAATTAATGCAAACAATGTTTTGTTAGGATTTAATTAAATTAATTTTAATAATATAATTTAGTAAAGCCAAAATACACATTTTGATCTCACTACAACCGGCGAATAGTCAAGTAATAATAATTTATTCATAAGTCTAATATAAGCAATTTTACACTCTACTTTCAATAAGGCACTCGGTGCTTAAATTTATTTAATATCTAAATATCCAATTTTTAAACTTCTGGATTTACATTACTACTTTTTACTAATAAATGGCAAATGAAAATTAAAACTGTATCTAAAACACAATCTTTGATATTAATTACGCAGTGAAGTATTTGAATTCGCTACACAGCTACATAGTTGTGATCTACTGTTACATATTATTCGGTTATTTTAAATTGATAATACTTTTCGGAGATGTTCAATATAGTTTCTATACGTATGTATTTTGGCAGTGTAAACATATTACGTACAGAAATAACTCTACAATTTTAATTTCCCTACATGTGGGGCCTAAAAAATGAGTGCATGAGTGCGGTGGAATAAGTAACATAATCTTTCGTTTTCAACCGACTTCAAAAAAGGAGGAGGTTCTCAATTCGACCCGTATGTTTTTTTTTTTTTTTTCTATGTTTGTTACGCGATAACTCCGCCAATTATGAACCGATTTGAAAAAATCTTTTTTCGGCGTATAGGTAATACTTCAAGGGTGGTCCCATTTAAATTTAATAATAGAAAAAACAACCCCCAAGGGTGGAAAATTGGGGATGAACTTTTTTATACGCAATATCTCCGCCGATTATAAATCAATTTGAACGATTATTTTTTTGTTGAATAGGTATTATCAAAAGGGTGGTTTCATGCGAATTTGAAGAAAATATTTCACCCCCAAGGGTGGAAAATTGGGGATGAACTTTTTTATACGCAATATTTTTAATTTTTAGTTTTTTTTTGTGTTCACGCATTTGAAGTCGGTTTTATTTTTTAAAAAAGTTAATTATTTTTTGTATCTTCATTCAAGGCACCATCTCGGATATTGCACATTTCACATTACAGACATTAAAACTACACTACCCATTTAAACAATACATTTTGAATGTGTGAGTTATTGCACTTTTCTAATGCTGATGATCTACATCCATATTGCTTTAGATTAATAAATTAAATTCTAAAAACATTACATTTAAGACTAGCATTTATATTAATATGTAATTTTTATAATTATTTAATTAGAAATACTTGTCCTAGCTATCTAGCATTCTTTAGAATGAACTAATTGATTCAAAAACACTGTCTTAACAATAAATCTTCTTATAGACTCAAACTAAACCACTCGTACATAACACAATAATATGCTTTCGATTCGAATAGAATTTATATAACATTCACAAAATACAAAAACAGCATACTTATTTACTAGAAAATATTAAATATGTGAATGAAATAAAAACGTTTCTAACTATAAGTATAACATACAAATATTTTTAACAACAAATGGAAAGATCCAACTACTGAATATTGGGTAAATTGTTAATATACTTAACGAATAGCTCATTTAAAAATAGGACCTTAACATCTAACACATAGATAGAACTAACACACAATCCACTTTAATAAATATAAATTGATAGATTTGTAAACCATAGGACTTTTTACATCAGCACATAACAAACATATTTGGTTCAAGCTGATTGTCCTAAGCAAAACAGTAGACTTACTTTAGAAAAGTTGCAAATTTTCGGTCAAACTTTAAACTACGCTAAAACTCAAAGTATTAATATTAAACAGGCTTCATTTGCTGCCCTCATATCTAAAATGAGATTATCAATCATGGAACACCCATCACATTGCAAGAAGCCCGGACCTCTGGTAGAGGTATAAAAGTAGCCCAACCATGGCACAGCTAAGCTCCAAAGCCCTGTTGTTTGTAGCAGAGGAACTGGTTTGCTTCTTAGCGGTGGCCAGTGGTTCAATGCGATTCGTCTTGTTCATCATCCACATGTAGACGTCGGTGAGACCCTGGTCTTTTAGCTCGGGGCCCACTATCTTCCTGATGCGGTCGTTGTAGGCGTTCAGCCAATGGATCTGTAGAAAGAAATTTGAATCATGAGAACTTACGACTACCTATGATCACCTATTGGTTATGTTAAAGTCTCTAACTACCCTTTTTGTTCTTAAACATACTTACTTTGAACTTAGCAAATAGGTAACGGAAAAAAAAGCTGAACTTGGCAAAGTAAAAACATGCTTACCTCGTAATCAGTGAGCATATTCCGTTCTATAAGTTTCGGCTCAAAAGGAATCAGCGTAGCTTCCCTGAAGCCGATGTACATGCTGGATTTGGAGATTACTTCTAGAACGTTCCCTAGTCTCACACCGAATTTTGGCTCGTACCATGCTGGTTCTGAAAATAATACAATATTTCAATTTACTTACATACCAGAGTTAACTTACGATTGGCTTACTTATTCGACAGTTTGGATAAAAAGCCTCTTACCACTGGTTACGTAGTAGCCTTCTCTAAACGTGTGCAAATTGACATCCTGCCTGTAGTCAATGACAACAGGATCTGAAATCAAATAGGCATAATTATGGCATATCAGATGATCCCTTTCTACCACAATATCACTCTTCAATAGTATCTAGTCTGTATAATCTGGCTGTTAAACTCAAATTTCTGCAGCATCTACCTTCCCTCCTGTTAAGAGCAGCGCCAACTCCATGTCCTGTGGGATGCACATAATCCTGCTTGGCTGCCCAGAGCGGCGTCCGGGCGACGGGGTCAGCATGGGCGGCAGGTAGAGACGAGGGCGCCTGCAGCGTAGCTAAGGCTGCCACCGCCCGGAGTACAATGGTGTACCCTCGGCGAACCTCTTTCGTCGGTACACCGTAGTGGACAGTTCTTGTTACTACTGTGGTGCCCTCTGAAATACTCGAAATTGTTAGTGAATTGTCTGTATGCAGTGTCATCATCTTGATTGAAGAAGATGAGAAACAAGAAGAATTTTACTAAACCAGTTTTAGTGACTTTGCGCACTATGCTGGAAAGGTGAAAAGGATGAAACCAAGTTTAGCTCCAGAAATTGATCAGATAAGCATGAATCTCACCATCATACTGTCCTCCTGACCGTATGATAAGGGTTGAGTTGGTGAAGACGCGCCGGTTAGAATGCGGGGTCGCCCGGTAATCCGGGTCGGAACCGCTGGGACCAAAAGCGACACGGGTTTTCATTGCTGCACCGACGTATCCCGCTTGCGTCTCCCTCGTCATGTCCACTGTTAGAGCTACAGATATTTCGCTCATTGTTGCCTTGTTCTGAAAAACAAACGAGTAAGCATCAAAATAGATTACTGTAACATGCATAGGTATTCTAGAGCAATAAGTGGCACGCAAACTCACTTGTTTCTCCAAATAGTTTAGTAGTGTGCACATAGCCACAGCATCTCTCAAGTGCGCCTTCCTCATTCCATTAGCTTCTGCCTCATTTTTTTGCGCTTTCAAGTAAATGATCGGAGACAGTAAGAAGAGACGTTTGTTCTGCGGCACGCTTTGAGCGATAGCGGCAGACGCACCGCGTTGGAAAGTCCCCGAAGCTGGTATCAAGATCTTGGATTCAGTAGCTCTTCGCAAGTCCGCGTATATGTTGGTGTAGTCGTTGACCCTTAACCCAAAATCAAAACAATGTTAATGAGCAAATGTACTTATTTATGTGTTAAAATTGAATTGCGATAATATTCACCTTGTACAGTTATTGGTGTAGCAGTTATAGACTGCCAACGCTTCTCTGACCGGCATTGAGAGTTTCCCAGGAGGGGCATACACCCGCACTTCTCTCGCGCTCACAACAACGAAGGCCTTTAATAATGGTGCGTATGGCAAGTCGCGCCCGCGAATGTTGAGGAGCCATGCCACTTCATCAAGAGCAGTTACCACCATAGCGTCTGCTCCCATGGCGTGTAAATCTTCTCTTACTGCTGATACTTTGTCGCGCCAGCTCATACCTGATTTCATAAAAGATTTAGTATTTTCAGTTTCAATTGAGTTAAATTCAATATGAATCATCAGCTTTGGCTTGAGTAAAATTACTACTCAGTCCGTATTTGAGTACTGTAAGTAACATGACGTAGTGTTATGATGTCACCTGTGTATTCTCCGTGATGCAGATTTGCAACAATCTTAGAGAAGTCAGGCCTGCGTCGAGATGGGTCCGGTTCTTCGGTCCAGAGCTGGTCCAGCAGAGTAGGCACGTGCATCATTTGAAGCCCGAGTTGTTGAAGCGACGTGGATAAAGTCTGCCAGTCAGTGTAGGACGTGAGTCGCGCATCTCCACCCACTCTGCCTCGTCGGTTCAGGCGTTCCTGTGGAGAAAATGGGTTTAGAAACTTGTCCAGTAGGCCTAGGATGCGCGCCGCTATAAGCTTTTATCGCATCATTTTATCGATTTTATGCGATAATCCTATACATTTGTCTTCAAAAATCATCGATAAGATTTTGTCACGGCGCGCATCCAAGCCCCGCTGGACGTAAGATTTTAAACTTTCGCGTTCCATTTCAAGTAAAATAGTGAGACACGGGTCTCAACGCGACTTTTGGTAATATGAGTTACCTACTTATGTACGTATGTATGTACGTGTATGTACCTACTCACGACTTGACCAAGACGTTTTTAGTTGGCGTAGTATGTTCTAATGTGAGTTTCTACATTTTGGTACTACTAGGATAGATTTCTCTTTGAAGAACAGAAGTATAAGTAAGTATCAAGACTTACGGCAATCCACTCGGCAATAGGCTGCTGGTTGGGATCGTCGGCGTCGAAGACTTGCCAGGCGCAGGTGAGCGTGGCGATGGCTCGAGTGACGTCACCGCTGGGCACCCAGATGGCGGCGCCTCCGTCGGCCAGTACCGCCGCTGTTCCTGCGCCTTCCCAGCCACTGATGTACTCTAAACGACGTTCTTCTGCTGATGGTTCTTCGCTCTACGATGATAAAATTTATCACAAAAATATTTAAAATTGTTATTTTTGGCTTACTTGAACACCTGGCTTTTTCTAGATACGACCTTACGTATGCTTTTCATGTAGATACCTATTTCATTTTTTTCAGTGTCGCGACTGCTTTGGGGCTGTTAAGACTTAAATGTTAGTCAAAACATATTACAATAACGGATTACCTATTAACCCGAAATATTTTTCATAGAAGGAGTTCCCTTCGTGAAAAAGTTCCATTGGCCCATCCTAAATGTAGAGACAGCTTACCTTCTACCTTATTATAAGTACCTACTCGTAGCCCTCGTAGGTAGGGCCGACATTCTTGACTGCTTATTGCTATTCAAGACCGTCGTTCTACATTATGTCAATGGACTGAATGAATTATTCAATTGGGATCATACACGTCAATTTCCTCTCTATCATGTCAATTAATTTGCAAATTTCTTAAAGTCTCACCAAATGCTCATCACTGAAGAACACCAGAAAAGCGTCGAAAAAAGCGTTCATCTGCGTAAAACTGGAGTTGCGCATGGCCACCCTTAGTCGGGCCAGCGGGCTGGTGGTGCTGGTGGAGTCAGGACACACGGGCGGCGCCAGCGACGGCGGCTCCTCAGCCGCCGTCACCGTGGTCGGCCGTGACGGGAGCAGCGTTGGCAACGGCATCGGGGTTGTCGTTGTGGGAGGCGGCAGACGCGCGCCCTGGCATACTTGGGATTACAAGACAAAAGGTTATTTTTAACTATACTTACGAGCAAAAGTATGGAATCATCCCCTTATGTTTTGTTCCGAGCTATCATAAGAACTGAATGCCTATGAATGTATAAATGGTACCATTTTTATTTATCTTCTATTAGTCTCTTACAATCGTTCATAACTAATAGAGTGATTCCATACTTTTGCTCGCGAGTGTGTGTAGATAAATTACAGAATGTTTAACATGACATATTAAAATTTAACACCCTTGTTCATGTTTAATTTGAGGTAGAGTAATTGTAATCATGTCTGGGTGACGGTAACCACCTCAAGTAAAATATTATTCGTAATTTTGTGATTCAGTCTCCACTGCAGGAGCATAACTCTCTAATTTACCGGAGGCAAAAAGGCCAGACGGTTTGGGAACTTATTTGAACAATGGTCTCAAGGATCTTGGTTCACTGTTATTTGTATTTTTCTTTTTGGGTCTGAATATTTTATTACCAACATCTTTTTTCGTTTTCATGGTACTTATCTACGAATCATGCAGTTATTAATCGGTATAAGCTTTCAAGCAATTAACGACCTTGTTATCAATCAATCAAAAGTTTTTTAGTATCGAAAACTTTGAATCGACGCATCCTATAAATTATGCCTTCCCCTGCCAATACGTTAAAGTTGCTTTGATTTAGCTCATCGCATCACTCACACATCTCTCCTGGATGCGCTGAACAAGGACACGTATACATAATGCATCTCTTTCCTGTGGTGAATCCTAAAAAAGTTCACCAGAAGGAGAAAGCGGCTAGCGACAGCGGCGTTCGCGGCGCGGGAATGTACCAGGGCACCATGCAGTAGCAGGAGCTCTATCGAGCGAAAGCTTCTGAAAGCTCTCGGGTGCGACAAGGATAGCACGCTTCTGTCTCGCAACCCCACCCACTTGCCTACCCCGACCCCTGCATTCATCTTTTTTGTTGGGCTGGGGGCGTTCCCAATGTTACAACAGCTACCTGCGATGTAGAGACTTCGACGTTTCAAAATAATTTTATGATTTTACTTTTATTTTGTAAAAAAATACTATTTTAGGATGCTAGATTGGGTGGTTGTTTTTGAACGTAATAAAGGTTGAAGGATTTGTTTGCTGTGTAAGATAAGTCACAATAACTTACGATGCAAGTTCTGCAAGTTCATTGCCCGGGAGGCCCAAGGGATATGGGCTCTATTGGAATGACGTCAACAACTAGCAGGACCTCAGAGCTGTAAAGGAGCTCTATTTTGTGTCTTCCCTTTTCATCTTTACCCCACCCCAACATTGTTTCATCCTGCGAGTGAGAAAGAGAGAGCGCAAAGCGAGGGGAGTACTACGAAAATGGTGTAATTTGTTACACCGAAATGGACGGCATGACATCGAATTACACTAGGAAAGCATGTTACGAAGGAGATAAGCTGTTACAACAATATCCTTACATCCTTGCGAGTTGCGAGGAACAAAGAGATTGCGTTACTGATGCATTGTTATCAAGGTACAAGGTTAATGACCATTGCTAATCAATAGTATCTAATTGAGGGTTAAATTAACTGTTTCCTTATTTGATTCTAGAAGTTTACATTAAATTAGTAAACCAGAAAAAAAAAGAATTCAACTTTTGTTAAACCTCATGTTTAACATTAAAATACTATAGTTGCCTACACAATATGCATACATTTAAATTGCATCAATGCAGTTGCATTGTGTATCAAAAGCAAAAAAAACTGCCTCCAAGACGTAGTAAGTACCCGATGCCCGTCTTGGTATCCCTTAAGGACGCGACGTAACATTCCCAAAGGGACAAAATATCCTGCGAAGTACCAGGGAGGCATACGACGCGAGTGGTGGAGCGTGACGCGTCGTCCTGAGCAAGGACACCCAAGGATAACCGGCAACGACCGGCCGTTCACCGAGACGCATGCACCGACGTCACTCCTTGTTGCACAAACGCACTCAGTATCGCACTTCAGTTTGCACAGGCAGCGTGTACAATCAACTGGTTTGAAATGTGTTGTATGATAAAAATAGCATAAAATTTATTTTTAATTGTTAAAAAATGTATATTTATGTATACTGAAGAAAAATGCATAACATGAAATACATGATCAGAACGACTAATATTTCGTAAATTAATAAACAAAATGGAATGATAATGAATTCAATTAAATTAATGTAATGTAGACAGTCAATCCTAACTTTTCACGAGTTTTCAGTGATTTATTACGATTAACGTTAAAATGAAGAGTCCTGTTTGAATTTCTTTTTTTGTCAATGATTGTTAGGAACTGATTGTTACCTGTTATAATTTAAACTGGAATATTGCGATTTTGCTATGTTAACTTATAAAATTAATACGGACTACACAAGGATATCTACTATATAAAAATAAGTCGGGTTTTCCTCCCTGACGCTATAACTCCAGAACGCACGAACCGATTTCCACGGTTTTGCATTCGTTGGAAAGGTCTCGGGCTCCGTGAGGTTTATAGCAAAGAAAATTCGGGAAAAGGGGGTAAAACGGGATCCACGCGTACGAAGTCGCGGGCGGCCGCTAGTTTAATATGATTATCCTACTTGAAGTTCCACTTTCTTTATTATTATGTAACACTTTCTTTATTGTTAAGATAATATTTTTAATATCATTTGGGTTAAGTTCTAGAGTATTGAAACCCTTTATGTAATGTTGGGTGTAAAAAATCGAGTACTACAATCAATATGTAATGATAGAGTCGATAATGATCAAATATTAAAGTTAACATTCGACTTCATTACAGAGCTTATTAAAATTGTGATGCCTAATGTAACGTACGGTTACGTGCGCGAAAGTGCTGCAGTCAACAGGAAGACGGCTTGTAACCTGCTCACCATCTCTATCAGGAGCACATAAACCGAAGGATATCTGTTTTACATCCCGCGTGTAAGTCCTTCTTTTGTCCCTTTCCCACAAGCCTGGGTATTGTATTAATTTGTATTCATTCTCTTTCTCCTTATTACTATGTGCATCGCTTTCATGCGTCGATAACTATACATTTACGAAAGGTATGTGCGTAGAACAAATTAACTTTTTAAAAAAATAAAACCGACTTCAAATGCGTGAACACAAAAAAAAACTAAAAATTAAAAATATTGCGTATAAAAAAGTTCATCCCCAATTTTCCACCCTTGGGGGTGAAATATTTTCTTCAAATTCGCATGAAACCACCCTTTTGATAATACCTATTCAACAAAAAAAATAATCGTTCAAATTGATTTATAATCGGCGGAGATATTGCGTATAAAAAGTTCATCCCCAATTTTCCACCCTTGGGGGTTGTTTTTTCTATTATTAAATTTAAATGGGACCACCCTTGAGGTATTACCTATACGCCGAAAAAAGATTTGTTCAAATCGGTTCGTAATTGGCGGAGTTATCGCGTAACAAACATAGAAAAAAAAAAAAACATACGGGTCGAATTGAGAACCTCCTCCTTTTTTGAAGTCGGTTGAAAATACGGGAAATGTATATCGGATGCGTCGGATAAAAAAAGTGCGTGTGCGTGAGAACAATGGTTTGCCCCCTTTTTATACCAGGGTTGTATGGGCGACGTGGAGATGGGCCTTCCGAGAGGACTACAATATTATTGTGTGGGGGTAACTTTGTAATGGCGGCTGCGATGGCCGCTCCTCGTACACACAGTCATACAATGCATGTTCCCAAACGGTAGTGTATGGGTGTGAGGACAACACAAAGGAATAAACACACACTGTGTTACTGACTACTGTCTCTCCATGGTAATATTTTTAGCGGTGTGTTTAGTTTTTTTTACCTAACCGCCTGCCATGTAAGAGAAACGATTTTAATTTTTCTTCTCTTTTCAATAAAATAAATGAAATAACAAAACTGGCACATTTCAAACTTTCTGTTGAGTTAAAAAATAAACAATCAAATTATCAATTAATTTTGATAACACTTTAGTACCGTGTGTTACATATGCATCAAAAGGGGAGTTGTAGGATAATAGTGCGTAAGTTTCTAATGTAGTGTCGAGCTTCCACTTCAGCTTAAAAGCTCCGTAGTGAAGTAACAAAGGAGAAAGTGGCGCTAGTGTTACGTGACGTCAGTTTCTACCAGGCGCCCATGAGATCTTAGGAGGTAGCCTATCCTGTGTGGAGTGGGGTCCCAAAGGCAAGGGGCGTTCCTCTGCGTTCCCCCATCCATACCTTCATTTTCACAGCGATATTAGACCTACGTGAGGTACAAATAGAGGTGACTCTACGTAAACCATCATATTCCATTGAAGAGGACAGGGAAATAGGAATAAATAAATGCAACTATAGTAGAGCAAGTGCTCTACATAGGCTGAAATTTAAATCGTTGGCATCCTTTTAAAATAAGACTCTAATCATGATACATAGTACTTTCCCCAAATATGAGACAAATCCAACGAGTTACAATAATTAAAATCTTGTACAGACGACAGCACATCAAGCTTAATTACTGTGGCATCTTATTTCGATTTATTAAGTGTTATTTTGCAACAAAAATGTAGGTATCTAGCTGATGAGCTGTACTATACAAGAGTTGTAAACTCTTTATAAGAGCACAGTTAGTATTAGTGTAGTAGTAAACATAGTAAAAATAATGACAAAAATGAAAAAAAAAAACTCATTGGATTTGTGTCATACTCGTATTTGGGGAATGCACTAGGTGTATCAAGAGAATCTTACCAGTAGCACAGCCAGTAGTTGCAATCTGACACATCACAATATTATAATGTTTCTGGCCAATTGTTTGTTTTTGGCCAAGATTTCAGGTATCTTTTATTTCAATAAATATTTTTGTTTAAAAGTAAAATAAATAATTAAAAATAAGCGGATACAAAATAGCTTCATTTATGTAAAGTCTTACAGTAAAATAATTAAGAGCCTTGAAATAAAATGCAACAATTTCTGTATGAGCCACAATTTGGAGACATCCGCAGAAATTAAATGATTTCATAATTTTAT